CTGGTTTCACACAGTCTCCACCAAACAAAGGGTCCCTGCTGCAAAATGCCAATGCGGGAACGCACTCCCCTGCATGCCTGGTCTGCCCCAGCAGTGGGTGCCGCTCCCCTCTGGGCTCTATCTGCAGGCCAGAAGGGGCCTGGCATGGGCAAGCCTCCTAGCTCACCTCTGGCTCCTCAGGGAGGCTTCTGCTTGTTTCACACAGTTTCCACCAAAGAAAAGTCCCTGCTGCAAGATGGCGATGCGGGGGATGCGCTCCCCTGCACACCAGGTCTGCCCCAGCGGTGGGTGCCGCTCCCCTCTGGGCTGGGACTGCAGGCCAGAAGAGGCCTGGCGTGGGCGAGCTAGCCTAGGAGAATATTTTTTTAATACCACTGAAATTGTTATAAAGCCACCGAAATTGTTATAAAGCTAATTATATAGAGTTTCTATGATCTGGGAAAATTTAGAAAGTAAGTCCATATAAAATTGAGACCCTAGCTAACACCACAATTTATTTATATATATTATATATTTATTATGTGTATAGTACTCGGTTAATTAATTAAAATTCATTCTAACAGTCCTATTGAGAAAAATAAACTTATGAGCACCTATTTGGACGTCTTCATTCTTTAGTTTTTTATTATCCCTCTCCTGAGAGTCATTCTTACCATTCATTCTTTTTGATATTAAATAATGGTTTTCTTTGAATGTATCACATTTCCTAAAGTGTCAGTATCATGTTGTCCTCAGTACTATATTGTACTATATTATTGAGAATGACTACCATTTTACAGTTAGGGAATGAAAGGATAATGGAGATCTGAAATACTGAACAGAGTCTTGAGTCAGGTAGTATCTTAGCTGTTTTTCAAGTGAGCACCTTTTTCTTGAAGCTGGAGTAATGCTGCTTTTATATTTTAAGGTATTGTATTATGAAATTTCCAAATTTTGCTTTTGTGACTGCTTCTTAGTATTTATGTTGTTTATGTTTTTGTGTGTTTAAAGGGAAAAAAAGAGGACATCCATTAAAAGACTAAGTGAAATACCACATCTTCTTGATCCAGGCATCTATTTTTGGGCATTTGGGTTGTTTCCAAAGCTTAGCTATTGTAAATAGAAGATATGGTATATATACAGTATGGAATATCATTCAGCAATCAAAAAGATAAACTCAGCAATTTGCAGCAACCTGGATGGAGCTGGAAGGGATCATGCGCTGCGAAATAAGCCAGAAAGAAAAAGAAAAATACCAAATGGTTTCACTCATAGCAGGAATTTAGAAAACCTAAATAAGGGACCAGGAAAAAGAATAACTATAATAAAGAAAAAATAAAAATCAACAAGGAACTATAAACCAGAGACACACTGGGGGATGGGGTGGGGAGAGGAGGGATTGGGGTCAAAATCAGGGGGGTGCAATTGTATGGGGAATATAACCAAGATGAAAATGCATACATTGTGCAAAAATGAAAAATGATGTAAGAAATATATGAACTAAAATATATAAAAAATAAATAAAACAAATACTTAGTTTGAAATGTTTACTACAAACGAAAAAGAAAAGTCTTGTGATAAAGAAAAATACTAAGTAAAATTACAGGGTAACCTGTTAGTATATTAGGGCAGTATTGTTGCTATTTCATAGCTGATAACTAATGTGTTTTTTCTTCATTAGCCATATTTTCCATAAGACATGTGTTGACCCATGGCTGCTAGAACACAGGACTTGCCCTATGTGCAAATGTGACATACTTAAAGCTTTGGGAATTGAGGTAAACAATGCTAGACATTTATGTGAAGGAACTTAAGCAGTGTGTTAATTTATGTACTTGGGCCTTCAGGAAAATAGCATGCTTATTTTCTAGCCATGTAATGAGCTAGACTTACAGAATACACCAAAAATTGGACATCTTTAAATCCTAGTGGCAGTGAACTTGGATCACTTCCATTTTCCTTCTTCCTTCCTCTTCTCAAATGTACTTATTATTTGGTTGGAATTTGAGGCTATAACATATAAACTACCAAATGGTTTCTGGTACCTCTTTGTATTTCATTTTCTCACTATTGCATAACAATGAAACTTGTTGGTAAATGAACATGTGTATAGTTTGAGCAAGTATAATAAATATTAAATTATGATTATGCTTGGCAAGTAAAAGTGAAAAAAACTGCCAACCTATTTCACAAAGTGCACAACAGAAAGATGAGCTCCTCAAAATCCCTGACTTAAGGAAATACATACGACATACGTCACAGAGATTCTCAATTCACCTATTGGGGAGCATGTAATTTTTTTTTTTTTTTTTGGATGCCTGTTTTATACCCACTATTATATTCTGCAGTGCTGGGGTTATAAGATGAATATGTCAGGTGTGAGGGTGATCTGCCTTTAGCATCTTTAACCCTGTTGCTGGTCTTCATTACTTTAACTACCCTGACTGGACTAGCAAGAGATTTTTGTGACCATCAAAAGGGATTATGGGCTGAAATGCTTAAAAGCATTGCTCTAATGCTTTAGCTATGAAGAAATTTTGTAATGATATCTCAGGGAAGAGCATGTATTCTGAGAATTTGTTCAAATATTTCCCAAAGGTGGATGTTGAAGATGGGTCAGTGTCTTTACAAGCCCCTGCGTCCAATGAAACATCCAATAGTGCCTCTCCTCATGAAGAGGATAGTCGCAGTGAGACTGCATCGTCTGGATATGCTTCAGTTCAGGGAGCTGATGAACCACCTTTGGAGGAACACGTGCAGTCAGCAAGTAAGCACCATGCTGGGGGTCATCGAGTACCCCATAAATCATTCACTGTGGATCATACATAGGGCAGAATAGTCCTGCCTTTTACCATTTGCTTCTCTCATCCAATAACATATTTTAGGATTTTCCGCCAACAATGATGCAATGCAGGATAAAACTCTCCCTTAACTTAATACACACATATTCAGATGTAACTGAAACAGATGAAGTGCCACAGGAAGGGGGATTAGTCACAGAAGAAAAGGATTTATTAGAAAACTTGTCTACATTTACGTGGTGGCTCATTAACCTACACAACCTAAACTACAGAAACTTTTTTTTATATATCCAAAAGGGCAGGTTTATTATAAAAAGGGTGAAAAGAGTAAAGGACACTTGCACAGACTCAAGCAGGCAGAAAGAGCGGCAGCCTTGGGTGGAGAGCTGCCTCCACTGCTTTGCAAAAGGGAGGTCAGTGAAGAGAAGCACCTGCATGGTCACAGGTCACAGACGGGCAGGAGGGCTGCTGCACTACAGACACTTTTAAACTTTAGGAGACATCGTTTATTGCAGATCAAGTAGAAATTAAGATAATAAGAGTTTTCACATGAGGAATAGAATTCAGTTTACCAAAGCTCGATTTATGCACAGCTTCTCAGGAATTCACCTTTTTTTTTCCTTCCCAGCTTTATTTAGAGATATGTTTAACAGGTAACACTGAAAATTTAAGGTGTGCAACATGATGATTTGATATATGTATATATTGCAAAAAGATTACCATAGTGACTTTTTTAATTTCATCACCTCACATAATAAAAATTGTATGTGTGTATGTGTGTATTTAAGATTTACTTACTTAGGATCTGAATATACACTTCTCCAAAGAAGACATACAGATGGCGAAGAGGCATATGAAAAGATGTTGATCATCTCTTATTATTAGGGAAATGCAAATCAAAATAAGAAACCATCACCTCACACCAGTTAGAATGCTATTATTAAAAAGACAAGAAACAACAAGTGTAGGGAGAAGGGAACTCTTGTACACTATTGGGAAGGTAAATTGGTAGAGCTATTATGGAAAACAGTATGGAGATTCCTTGAAAATTTAAAAATAGAAACTTAATACAATCCAATTATCCCACTTCTGGGCACTTACCTGAAGAATATAAAGGTACTTAATTCAAAGAGATAGATGGACCCACATGTTCACTGCAGCATTGTTTACAATAACCGAGAGATGGAAACAACCTCAGTGCCCATCAACAGATGATTAGATAAATAAAATGCAATATATGTACATAATGTAATACTACTCAACTATTAAAAAAAAGATGAAATCCTGCCATTTATAACAGGGATGGACCTAGTGGTTATTCTGCTTAGTGAAATAAGTCAAAGAAAGAGAAGCATCCTATTATTTCACTCATAAGTGAGGCATAAAGAATCAAAATGAATGAACTAAATAAAACAAAAATAAATATTTAGACTATAAGACCAAATTAGTGGTCACCAGAAGGGTAGAGAATGGATAGGTAAATTGGGAGAAAGGACTCAAGTGTATGGAGAAGGATGGAATTAAATGTTTAATGGTGAACATAGTATAATATATATATATATATATGTATGTATGTTGATTTTTAATAAAAAGATTCACGATGAACATAAAAGGAGAAAACATTTACTCTTTAAAAAAATTTTTATAGGGCCTCCCTGGTGGCGCAGCGGTTGAGCGCTGGGTTGCGAAGCTGCCCGCAGCCTCTGCGGCACCAGTTCGATCCCTGGCTGCTCCCCGGCCACCGGAGGAGGGTCCCACATGGCGCGCAGACCTCTCCTGCCGCCCGCTGCTCCCCTCAGCAGTGTACTTCGGTCCTTCTACCTGCTTTGCTCCCCGCTCTGGCTCTGGTGAATTCTCTCACCCTCCCGCGCTTCTGACTGTACCCAGTGCATGTATAAACAAAACAAATAAACAAACAAATAAATAAATAAAACATGCCTCTAAAAAAAAAATTTTTTATAAACATTGGCTTACATCATTATTTGTGTTTTAGAGGTATAGGATCCTCCTCCTCCAGTTGTTGTTACTACAGCATACCCATTACCAAAGCACCCACAGTCCATCCACATAATCCCTTGTGCTCCTGGACCACTTTGTTCTGGCCCTTCCCCCTCTGGCAGTTTCAGTTCTGTAATCAAATTTCTAGGCTTTATCTCATCCTTGTTTGGTATCTCGATATTCCACATATATTGACACCTTCCAGTATTTGTCTTTCTCCTTCTGACTTATTTCGCTCAGCATAATCCCCTCCAATCCATCCATGTTTCTGCAGTTGGCAAGAGTTTATCTTTTTTGATCTCTGAGTAGTATTCCATTGTGTATAGGTACCACAACTTCCTGACTATGGAAACATACTAAGTACCTAAATATAGATGAATGGATCAGGAAGTTATGGTAAAAAAGGTTTACTCAATTAGCAACTTTTAAGTATATGTACAGTATTAACTGTAGTCATCATGCTGTATATTAGATCCCCAGAAATCATTCATCCAATAACTGGAAGTTTGTGCCCTTGCAACAAAAGCTCTCTATTTTTGCTCAAACCCCAGTTCCTGGGAATCATTATTGTACTGTTTCTGTGAGTTTGGTTTTTTTTATATTCCACGTATAAATGAGATCACGTACTATTTGTCGTTCTCAGTCTGACTTAATTCACTTAGCATAATGTACTTAAAATCCATCTGTATTTTCACAAATGGCAGTATTTCCTTCTTTCTCATGACTGAATATAATATATATATGTATATGTACACATACACACAAACTCCACACACACACACACACACACATATTAGATTATTATAGCTTTAACTTTTCACCAATGAGTATGACACTAACTGTGGCTTTGTCATATATGGTCTTTATTATATTGAAGTATGGTTCCTTCTATACCCAATTTCTTGAGAGGTTCACATCACATTTAAATTGTTTTGTCTTCTTTGTCTCCAGTCTGTGATGGTTCCTTTGCTTTTGTGACCTTGACATATTTGAAGACAATTGGTCAGTTATTTTGTAAATTGTTTACTGTTTTCTAGAGATTAAATTCACTGTCCACTGTCTATTTCTGGCAAGTACTACAGAAGTGATATTGTGCACATCTCTACCTATTCTGCTATCATATAATAAAGTACATTATGTCCATGTCTTAACTTTGCTTACTTGGCTAAGGTGATGTCTGCCAAGCTTCTGGTTTTAAAGTTATTATTTTTCTTTTTGTAATAATTATCTTATGGAGATACACATGGAGACTATATAAATGTCCTGTTTTTCATCATAATTTTATCCACTAATTTTAGCAATCATTGATGCTTCTTGTTTGCATAATTATTACTAAAATGTGTGCCAAATGGTGATTTTCTATTTTCATCTTTTTATGTTAATTAATCTTCTATCTTAAGGAAGGGCTATTTATTCCCCATTTATTCTATTATTTATTTATATTAGTATGGGCTCATAGGTATTTCTTGTGTTCTATAATATCATTCTCATAATTTATTCATTGCTTAGATTGTCCTAGACTTGGTCACTGGGAACTCCTTCAAGTTGGTTTCTGTTTTTGTTTTTTTTTTTTCCGATATGCCTCATCATTTTTTTGTTTGTGCATTCTTCCTTACTTTCTGGCACTACAAGATGTTCTAGGACAGGAACTGGCAAATTTTTCCTATAAATGGCCACAATGTAACTATTTTAGGCCTTTAGAGGCCATAGGTCTCTGATTTTACTTATTTTTGGTTTGTCTTACAAGCTTTTAAAAATGTGAAAAACACTTTTAGTTATGCATTTAGCTTGCAGGTTGAGGTTTAATGATCCTAGACTAGAATCTAGATTTATCATGTACTGTCTTTGCCCTAGCCCTACATTAACCATTTCTTTGAGGGGAGGTGATTTTATTGGAGCACACCATTTTGAAACCAAGATGTAGGCACTTAATTTAGTCATTGCTATTGGGATGTCATTGCTATTAGCCCTTTCATTGGGCAAAGCTACAAAGCTACAAAACTTTGTACAAAGCTACAAAAATATATTATGTGCTCATACAAATACACACACATACAACCATTCTGCATTCTAATTCCTTTTTTTTTTTTGAAAGATTTATTTATTTATTTTATACAAGAACTGGGGTACAGGTCAGAAGCGCAGGAGGGTGAGAGAATTCATCACAGACAGAGCAGGGAGCAGAACAGGCAGATGGACCGAAGACACTGCTGAGGGGAGCAGCGGGTGAGGCAGGAGAGGTCTGCCAAGCCATGTGGGGTTCTCCCTGGCCGGTGGGGAATCAAACTGCTGCTGTGGAGGCTGCGGAGGCTGTGGACAGCTTTGCAGCACAGTGCTCAACCGCTGTGCTACCAGGGAGGCCTGCATTCTACTTCTAATCCAGCACCACAAGTTAATTCTAGCCTTTCCCTTTCCTTATTTAACTCCTTTCTCTTGAGAAAGGAGTGAGAAACTTGACTCTCATTATACACAACATATTTACTCATTTGTTCAATCCTAGAATAAACATAAAATAATTTCAACACTGCTATCTTACTCCTTGTGAAAAACAATTTCACTAGCTACCGTACTATTGTTTTTGTTTTTAGTCTTATAGGATATAGTCAAAATACTGTTTCTCAGAGTTACTTAGGTTACTTCTTTTCTTTCCTACTCTCTTCAGGATGGTGATATATTTCATACAATAATGTTCATTTGTTAGTGATTATATTACATTTTGGGCAGTCTCCCCACTCCCTACGTCCTGATTGGATTTTTGGTCCATCCATCCATCCATCCATCCTTCCATCCATCCATCCAAAAAAAAAAAAAAAAAAAAAAAGCATAGGTAACTTTTTATTTCAGGGCCTCCCCGGTGGCGCCGCGGTTGGGCGCTAGGCTGCAAAGCTGCCCGCAGCCTCTGTGGCGCCAGTTCCATCCCCGGCTGCTCCCCGGCCACCGGAGGAGGGTCCCACATGGTGTGCAGACCTCTCCTGCCGCCCGCTGCTCCCCTCGGCAGTGTACTTCGTCAGTCTGCCTGTTCTGTTCCCCACTCTGGCTCTGGTGAATTCTCTCACCCTCCCGCACTTCTGACTGTACCCAGTGCATGTATGAATAAATAAATAAATCTTTAAAAAAAAAAAAAAAAAACTTTTTATTTCACTTATATGTGGAATATAGAGAAATATAAAAAAGTGTCAGTCAAAACCAAACCAATAATAAACTCTTACTATCTGACTGCAAAACTGAGGCAACCAGAAGAGAAAGTTGGTGGGGTCAGAGTAGGGGAGGAAAGGGACCCAATGGAACTTGGTAGAGGATTGTTGGCACACTGGTGGTGGGCAGGGTGTGAAAGTACACATTTGTAGAGGTTTGAACCTTTAACCCCAGAGCAGATACAAAGATGTAAACCCATTTTACTTCAATAAACATAATTTGGAAAGAAAAAAAGAGACAAGAAAAAAATAAAGTGCCCAGATAATTGAAATGTGATGCTAGGTTTAAAAATTGTTACCATAAGGATAAAAAAGAAGCAGAAGACATAAATTTTGCTCTTAAGGAGATATAATCTAGGTAGAAGTAAGAATAGGTGTGAATCAAAAGGCAGTAATTATAAATCAATGTAATAATGTCATGTGTGCCTTTTTCTTAAAAAAAGATTATATTTATTTATGTGTGGAAGAACTGGGGTGTAGGCCAGAGGTAGGGGTGTATGTGAAAGAATTCACTAGAGACAGAATGGGGAACAGAACAGGCCTGAAATACATGCTAAGGGGAGCAGCTGATGAGACAGGAGAGGTCTGCTGCACCATGTGGGTTAGTTCCATGGCCAGTGATCAAATGCAGGCCATTGTGGTGGGCCTGCAAGGTGGCAGCACTGAGACTTAATCCTTAGGCCACCAGGCAGGGCCCATGTGTGCTTTTTAAAAAACATCATATAAATCACAATCATAAAAGGAAAATGGAATGAATGTAATAATCAGAGTATCATGGGATTAGACAAAAAAGTCTTCTTGGACATAAGTGTTGAATTTTGTCTTATGGAAGAAAGGAGTGAAATAATCCTAAAATTGCCATTTCTTTTTAAAGATGAAAATCTACAGCTGGTAAACCATGAAGCAAGTTCTGTAGCAGTGGATGTTGTTCCTCATGTTGATAACCCAACCTTTGAAGAAGATGAAACTCCTAATCAAGAGACCGCTGTCAGAGAAATTAAATCATAAATCTGTGTCAATAGAAAACTTAAATATTTAGTAATAACAGAATGCCAATCAGGGCCTAGTTTACTATTAATGAACTGGATAAACTTAATAAAATAAGAATGACACTGAAAGTGCTGAGATGACTAATATTATGCTATAGTTAAATGGCTTAAAATATTTAACCTATTAACTTTTTTCCACAAACTCATTATGATGTTTTTCATAGGCAAGTTTCCTCTCAGTAGTGATAGCAACATTTTTAAACATTCAAAATTGTCTTCAAGTAGTCATATTTTTCATTTATAAGAATTTTCTTATAAAAACATGTTGCTTTTCAAACGTGGAGTAACTGTAATCACTTTATTTTATGATAATATCTTAATTAAAAATACTACTACTTTAGCTTGGGCTATATGTGTCAGGGTTTTTCTCCAGGTGCTTATATTGATCTGGAAATGTAATGTACAAAGCAATGCAAACTTAGACTAGTATTTCATGAAATGTCTATTTAAATGTCTACATTAAGTTGATAGAACAAGATTAAAGCAAAATATTAATTTTAACTCTTCTTTTAAAGTTAGGCTAAATGTACTTCATGTAAGTGTTGAGCATATTTTATCAGAGAATCTGGACTGGACTGGATTGATTGGTATGTTAGTGACACCAATTTGGCACAAGATTATAGACAAAAAATTTTCTTATGAAAATGCTATGTAATACTTCTCAAACTTGTAGGATTTTCAAAAGCAGAGTATGTAAATTACCATACTATTTGAAAATGATAAGTTACACAAAAACTCATAATTGACCTTTGTGTATGAATGAATCTACAGAAATGAATCTGTAGAAAATGCTTTCCAAACAATTTTGAAAATTGAGTTTACATTTTACCTAAATGGGCTAAAATTACACTAGATAAGTTAAAATGCTGTCCATGTAGCTATAAATTTCGTGAATGCATTTTCTTGGTGTTCAAAAAAGAATCAGGGGGTGGGGAGAATTCCAGGTGCCTTAATATAAAGTTTGAAGCTTCATTCACCAAAGTTAAATAGAGCTACTTAAAAAAAAAAGCACTTTATTTGTATTCTATGTGGCTTATCTTTGGTTTTAGAATTATGTTTCCAGTGCAAATTCCAGCAGAATTTAGGCAAAAGCAGAATAGACATATTTTGTTTGCTGAGTGTAGAATGGATGAAACCATTGCATTCTTGTACAATGATTTGAAATGCTGTAAATATGTTCCAATTTGTATTGATTCTCTTTAAATATAAAATGTAAATAAAATATTCCAGTAAAATGTTGTGTCTGGTGTTTAGCTATCTTGTACTAACTTTTCACATATGCTTGGATTTGGGATGAAAAATGGTTGGATGTAAATGGTCCTTGATATCTTTGATCAATAAAAACAAACTTCAGCATGATATAGATTTACATGTTTCATTACACACAGAGAAACTGCTGCCATTGTAATATCACTTACTGAACCTACCATGAATTATTTTAAATCTCAGCAAGACAAATAATGAAGATGATTACCACTTATAAAGTTAGAAAAAGACCTTGATGCCAGTCCATCTTTATACCACCCAAGCTATAAGGCCATTTTATTATTTTAAAGTTTTCTTTTCCTTCATTCCTATCTTTGGCCCTGTGATTTTTGGGATGCTGTTAATGAGTTACGTACATCTTTCTTTGTCAATCATTTTAAGAATAAACAGATGCTTAGAACACCTAAGAACCATGATTAGAGCCAGGGTACCCACTTTTTTTTGTGGCAATATGCCAAATGTATGTGTGTGTGGTGCCACACAATAAACTTTGCCTGTATTCTTAGAGAGTTGACTATTTCAAGTTTTGTGCACATTCTTTTAGGAGGGAATTTATAATTTTTTAATATTTATTTTATTTATGCATACAAGAGCTGGAGTGTAGGCCAGAGGTGCAGCGGGGTCAGAGGATTCACCAGAGGCAGAGTGGGCAGCAGAACAGGTGGATCTACAGAAATACACTGCTGAGAGGAGCAGCAGGCTTGACAGGAGAAGTCTGCTGCACCATGTGGGTTAGCTCCCTGGCCAGGGATCGAACTTGTGCTGCACTGACTGTGGAAATCTTCATAGTGTTAAGAGTTCACCCTTTGTGCCACCAGGGAGGCCCAAATTTATAATTGAAAAAAAAAATTGAACGGTTGCATTGAAATACAATTTATATGCCAAAAATTCACCCATTGTAAATGCACAGTTTGATGATATTGAGTGGATATATAGAGATGTGCAACTCTCAGAACAATCCAATTTTAGAACATTCTATACCCCATGTTTCCCCATACCCATTTGCAGTCAAGTTCTGTTCCTAATCTCAGCCCAAGGCAACTACCAATCTGCTTTCTGTTTCTAAGATTGCCTATTCTAGACATTTCATATAAGTGAAATCATACAATATGTGGTCTTTTGTGACTCACTTCTTCCACTTAGCATGAAATTTTCAAGGTTCATCCATCTTGAAGTGTGCATCAAAACTTCATTTCTTGTCATTGTTGCGTAATATTCCATATTTGGTTACCTTTCATCAGTTAATGAACATCTGGGTTGTTCCCATTTTTTGGCCATTCTGGATAATGCTGCTATAAACATTCACATACAAGTATTTGTATAAATGTATGTTTCTGATTTCCTTCGGTATATAAAGAAGAGGAATTCCATGTCACTTGTGAATTTTTTCTTGCTATTATCTTTTGATAATAGAGAGTTGGAGAATTATTTTTTATAGCTCATTATCAAAATATAAGCTCATTCCTTTAACCATGCAGTAGATATATTTGTATGTATAGGGAGTCTAACTTAAGGAGGGGTTTTCTGAAATTTCATTTATAAGTTTAGCAAAAATCAGATTGTATTACCAGGAAGATCAGTAAAAATGTACTTAGAGATGCAACTGGGATGCTAGGAACATTCCTTCTGCCCCCTACATCTTTTTTTTAAGTTACTAAATATTTTAATTAAGTTCTATAACATCTGGAAAAAATTTTTATCACCACAGGTATTTTGAGTAACAAAGTTCTGGGCTACATTCACCTTCAGAGATATATGTTCATTGTCCTCTACCTTAGAGCTAATTCAGTGAGAAGTTTGAAAAATATCTACTAGTTCTTAACCATTTTTCTACAGAAATATATGGCCTCATGAGTGTGAGATACTTATGTCCATTTTGATGGTTAGAGATTATTATATATAAAGTTAAGCATGGATAGTGGTGGTAATTCCTTCTCCAACTCAGCCACTGCCTTAGAAAACTAATGGACATGACCTGATATAAACTTTGAAAGAAAGCAATTCAAATATCTAAAATTCATTAAGGGCTTTTTTTTTTTTTTTAGAAGATAACTGTGTAGGTTTTTTTTTTTTCCAAAGATTTATTTTATTTATTTATACAAGCACTTGGTACAGTCAGAAGCGCGGGAGGGTGAGAGAATTCACCAGAGCCAGAGTGGGGAACAGAGCAGGCAGACTGACAAAGAAATACACTGCTGAGGGGAGCAGCGGGCAGCAGGAGAGGTCTGGGTGCCTTGTGGGACCCTCACCTGTGGCCGGGGATCGAACCGGCGCTGTAGAGGCTGCGGGCAGCTTCGCAACCCACCGCTCAACCGCTGCGCCACCAGGGGAGGCCCTGTGTAGGTCTTAATGGAAACATGATTAATCACAACCCATTTATTGAAGAGTTTGATTTTCAGAAGTCTTATTTGCTTTATATCAGTCCATCTAAAATTAATGTGCCTACAAATTACCTTGGAATCTTGTTAAAATGGACATTCTGATTTAGTAGGTCTGGAATGGAGTCTGAGAGTTTGATTTTCTAGCAATCCCCTGGGTGATGCAGATGTTGCTGGTCCAGGGTCTGCATTTTGAGTAGCAAAGCTTTTAAATGGCTCTCTTTCAGCAGCAAACCACCTGTTGTGAATTGCTTCTAAGCCTACCACAGGCTGAAGAGCATATACTAAGCTTGTGAAATTTGTTTCAAATAAGAAGCCAATGAAATCTTGAGCGACAGCCTCGGCTTTTTCATGGCACAGGGCTTGGAGTTGCTATTTGGGATTTCTGAGTACCTTTCATGTAGGCCTTTGGGGCTATGATTTTAAAGGCTGAGGCAGTTGGAAGACTGGCCTCTGAATAATGAGGTGTTGTCAACAAATATGCAGATATTTTGTGGATAAATAAGAATGGAGCAGACTGATGAGTTGGGAAGCTAGTATAATAGTATAACAAGAAAGTGATGTGAGGCTAGCCTGAAGCAATAATAGGAGGACGGGATGGACTTTTGAAAAAATAAGTGGAGAGGTGTCTTTATGAGACAGTGGAGGTGGTGAGAGAAGTTTAAAATTCCAAAGGATTTGGATTGAGCATCTTGGTAAACTATAAGACCTTCTAGAGGAATAACTAGGAAGAGAGGAATTTGGACAAACAAGTTTGACTTTCCGTATATAACTGAAAAATCTATAAAACGTATGCACAGACAGTATAGTGTCATGGCTTATGGTCCGAGAAATCTAAGTTCAAATTGTTATAGGACAGGGAGAGGGGCAGCCCAAACCCCGCAAACCTGCCTATTCTAAATGGGTTCTGCCATCCGCCGCATCAACACAAAACATATGAGACTTTAATGGGAAGGAACTTTAATAAAACTAGGAAACAATACAGGTAAGGCAAAGAGTCTAGTTCCTAAATCAAGAACCCAAAGTTACCCGTCCCCTCGTGGGTAAAAGTCCATCCAAATGGGATCGGCCCAGAACAAGGCCCCAAAGCCTGCCACAAGTCTAAAGCACCTTCCAGTGGGTACTCACAGAAAAGGGTCAGAAACAACCAGACAAGCCCGGAAGGAAAAGAGCAAAATCAATATTAAGATAAAAGCTGCCATTGTCACCTCCCCACGGGTCTCACCCACATCTGTGTCACCCAGTCCACGACCAAAAGACAAGCGCAGTTTCTTCACGTGTCTCCTGGCTCCATCCTGCTTCCTTCCTCAGTCTCTCCTGCAGCTTCTCCTCTTCCTGCTCAGCTCCCCCCTCCCTTGGGTGGGGCAGGGAACCTCCCCCTTTCCTGGGGACCACCCTGTTACAAAATCCCACATAGATTTATTTAGCTCTGTGATCTTAGACACGTAACTTAACTTCTCTGAGCTTCCTGTTTTTCATCTGTAAAATAAGGATTGTAAAAATATGCAAGCATATTATTGAGAATTAAATAATATGCACATATAGAGATATATGTATAGATATAGAAACCTCCGGTAGGTACCAGTAATAATATCCAAGGCAGTTTGTAATTCCAGTCCTCCATTCCTGGTTTTTTTTTTTTTTTTTCAGGAAAAAAAACCCAGTTATGTACAAAGGCTTGAAATGTAGTTTATGATCAAGCCAAAATTTTATATCACAGAGGTAGTCTTTTTTGAAAATATGTTTTCTTAATATAATCAGTGAATAATATTGTTTACTTAAGTAGAAGCTCTCTAAAATGTCCTGTTCTGAGGCAAAAGTGGGTTTCATTCTAAAACAGGGAGTAGATGAGTGTATCCAGATGGAGTTGTGAAGTAAAGAGGCAGAGGAACCATAAGATTCTGGACACTCCTTGACAAACTAACCTTTAAAGTTATTGGGAAAGAATGTGGTTTGATGAAGAAGGAAATGAAGGGGGGCGGTGGCAAAAAAAGAAAGACGGACGCCTCACATTTCTCTACGTTTGCTATATGTAGCACATGATCTTTCTCACCAGGAAGATAAGAAATTAACTTCCTGAGTGCACATCCATTCATACTGAGATGGATTTTTTTCAAGAACACATTGCAGTTTGGGCTCTGGGAGAATTCCCTCTCCTGAAAGCTATCTTAGGACTACTCATCGTCATTCAGTAGAAGAGAATTCGAAATTCATCCTTTTCTCGTCACCAAGAACAATCCTTGCTCATAGCACATGCCTGCTTTCCCTGAACTGACCCAAATCTTGGGAGGGTTAATCTGGAGATGCCCCTTCAAGGCAGTTCTTTGGCTCATTGACTTGGCGCCGGGGTGCGCCCCACCCCATTTCCCCCCCCCCCAGCCAAATGGCTTGAGGCTTCGTTTTCAAAATAGCTTGCCAATAGTCCCGCGTTTTTTGTACAAGCCTCCCAACTCCTTCCTTCCTATGCACCTGTTTTGTCTTTTAGCGCACTCTTCCGGACTTAGTTATCACAATAATAACGTCTCTTTAAAAATTCCTGACAGCGATGTCATGCAAATCACTGATTTCATTCACCTTAGTGTTTAAACAGCGTGTAACATTAACAAGGTCAAAGGAAATGAAGCCTGCCCTGAAAGGATTTTTTTTTTTCTTAAAGAGCTTTAAAAGGTTCCTGATGCTGAAAGGGAAAGTCGGACAAGATATTTTCCA